AGGGTATTCATTTGGGATAGCCTTAGATAATTTAAATGGTATAATTATCCTAGGATGGGATTGTTGATATTATTATCCGGGTGGTCTTTAGGATACCCGTAATTGATTGTTTGATTGGTTGCAAGGGTCATGGCTCGGCTCTAGTCTAAGGATAGATGCCCGACCACATGGACTTGCTAATAGATAGATGAGGGTCATGGGTCGGACGAGTCTGAGGATCGTGCCGGACTGCATGGGTCCATAGTAGGATAGATGTAAGGATCGTGGCCCTGCTTGACTCTAGAGAGCGAGTTGGATAGCATGGACTTACAGCGTGATCACGTATAAGGGTGGAATCCGAATCAAAGACCTAACGAGGCTTTGACAGCAGTAACACATAAGATAGGACCCCGAATGGACCTTACCTTCCTACGGGAACAGGGTATGAGTCCAGGGGCAGGATGCTGGACTCCGACCGAGTGCTCTGTGGAGACTTGGGTAGCGGTGACAGGTCCTGTATGATTTATTGCAAGGCAATACGAATTATCGCAGGGCGATACAAATTGTAGTTTTGAATAATCGCAGAGCGATACAAATTGTATTTTTAAATTTATTGCAGGGCGATACAGATTATATTTTTTGAATTATCGCAGGGCGATATGGATTGTATTATTAAAATCCAAACAGGGAAATGAGTTATCGCGTGGCGATGCAAAATGGGTTTTTGACAAAATACAAATGGGCCTATGGGCCGACTATTTGACGATATATACTTATGTATGATTTGAAAGGGGTAACTATGGGTTATTTCCTAAGAATTATGATAACACCTATGTTGAGGGTCTTAAGGATTGAAACATTAATTAAATGCAGTATAGTTGTCATTGTACTTTTCAAATGCTTCAAAGTACTGACCTCCCCTTCACGGGGGAGGCCACCTCACAGTTTTCAGGTAGAGACTAGAGTTTGCTTCCTGCACCCGTTGCTTCGGGAGTTCTTGGAGAGAAGACGTGGTTCGTGCTTCCTCCGCTCTGTTTTCCAAAAGAATTACAATAATGCTCATGGATAATATTTTCTAATAAATTATTTGAGGGCTTGTATGTCTAAGTTTGCCAAGTGTGGCTTGAACACTTGTAATATTGTTTCCGCTGCTTTAATGAATATTTTACATTATGTTTGTTTATGGATGTACTATGTGTGAATGATATTCCAGACGCCTTGTATAGTATGGATGTGTTAGATTGCGGTTGACTATTCATACTGTACGGCGGATTGTTGACGTGTCCGGGCAGGTCCGGGGCGTGACAGCTACAGGGAGTAGAATCAGAGAAAATTTGTGACTTAGCATTAATTAATCCAAACACCTTGTATATACCAAACATAACTAAATCAAACACTCAGCTTTTTACCAAAGAGCTACCACATTTTCTTTTTAAGATCTTTTCAGTCACAAAAAGCTAACAGTTACAAAAATACCCACAAAAGTATCTTTTCAGCTAGTTGTGTCAAACATACCCCAAACCACATTGGAATAGTTAAATCTTGGGTTTCATTCTCATATCTTTTACAGACTTGTTTCTAGTAAGAATTGGAGAGATTAGAGAGAGCGAGTAGGATATATATATATATATATATATATATATATATATATATATATATATATATATATATATATAAAGGGGGCGTTTGTATCTAATTCTTAAAACTGTTTTTACTCTTTTAGGGAGCAGGAATAGTTTTTTAGAAGTTGGGGGAAGACTAGTTTCTAAAAACCACACCTAATTACCTATCAGGCTATTATCCCATTCATCGCTTGCATTGTATCTGACCACATCGCAGTAGCGGACTTGGAATTCTCATTTTGGATGTTTAAAAGCTTTTATAATTAAAATCTTAATGAACACTAAATAATTATATTAAATTTATTGGTGTATATTTTGACATTTTTAAAAGCCTTGAGTGTTCAAGTGAGCACTTTGGATCAATAGTAGCTCCGCCCCTGCTGCATCGTCGGGTCAATTAGATTCTTGCTTTCACTACACTTAATTGTAGATCTCTAGAGTGTAAATTGTGCATCTGTCTTTAATTTGTCTAATACCTAATGCTATTAAAGAATTTAACTTCAAATACATCGATGCTCATGGTAACTACCTGAGTAGACCAGTACACAGATTTTTGAAATGTTTTTTAAAAAATACTTATTTTTTAATTTAAAAAATTCTGTGTAAATTTACACATAATTTTTTAAATTAAAAAATAAGTATTTTTTTAATTTGGGATTATCGAGACTTAGGTTGACTCCCTCTAGCTATGCCCCTCCTCATGGCGCCTACAAGACCAACGGTCTAAAGAAATCATGTAAAAATAAAACAAGGAACTTCCATTCATAATTCAAAACTATTAAAGTCTATTATCAATCATTTAACTATTTAAGTACCTCAACTTCCAAAATGTTCAAATCATTTTTAATTGGTTGACATTTCTTTTTCTTTTTCTTTTCCTTTTGCTTTTCCATTCTCCCGGTTTTGAAGCAATTGACACTTTCTGTCTTTCCCCATTCATTTTGAAAATAGTATGTTTCGTAGAGAAATGCAAAGAGCACGCAAATGCTCGTGTACTCTTTTAATTTACTCAATGCTCTGTGCGTTAGCTTATGCCCATTCTGTTAATTTTGTTTAGTTCAATGTCTTTGATTGTTGTGCTTGTTTTTTTAATGTGCTCACAGTTCTATATACTAGTACGTATAATATTTGTTTTTTATTAAAAACTAACATTTTTTTAATTGGAATGATTAACCTTATGATCTCGTTTTTTGGAAGTGTCACAGTGATACAATCAAATCACAAAGCGTTTGACGAGTTTCTGCATGTTGAATTGATACACAATTTTGATCATCAATATATTTAATGTTACGTATATAACGAATAAGAATTAAAAAACGTACTTTGTGTTTAATTTCACAATGAGACATATTAATCGATCGTATTCTTGATACCGTAGTTTTTAATCACTCCAATATTATTAATAGGCTTTTAGGTTTTGTGCGGTAGTTGTGTTGATCTTGTTGTTGTGCTTTTGATCTTCTATGAAGTGTGCGGTACTTTAGTGTGGTGGCTATTGTGTTTTTGGGGTTTGTTGATGTGAGTGGCTTAATTCCTTTGGAGGTGGCTGAACAAACCTCTTCTGACTTCCCAATGGATGGTCAAGTCGGAATGCTGTCTTTGGAGGTGGTGGATAAAACCTCTTCTCCCTTGCTGGTGGCTGGTGAAACCAGAAAGTCTATTGATTATGAGGTCGATCACCCCCCTCCTGAACCACCGCCGATGAAGGAAGAAGATGAGAGTGAATGGATTACTTTCTTTCTGGTGGCCGGTGAAACCGGAACAATTTCTGCACTTGGCTCCTTACCGGTGGCTGGAAAAACCGGCAAGTCTAACAAATCCTTTTCGGTGGCTGGTCAAACTGGACCTATTTCGAGTAGCACGAGCAGTCAATTTGCGGGACGAGTCTACATAGTTGCAGAGTTAGCGAACATAATAGCTTTTATTTGGCTTTTTTTCTCACCCTAGTGTAGCATTGAACGCTGTGATTGTAATGCTTCGGCTTTTGATTGTTATGTTTCTGGTTACCCTTATCAATAATAATTAAGTTATTTGATTTAAAAAAAAAACAATAAATGCACTATTAAATAAAAGGAATGAATAAATGATTAGTCCTTTTTTGGAAGATTTTAAAACAAGTCATATTTTTGTCTTTTCTATATATTTTAGTAATGTTGATACAAAAGGCCTGCATTAAATAGGAAGTATATGATTAGTAAAAAAAATTAAAGAAACGTAATAATTAACGAATGGAAATACTCGTATACATCTTAATTAATAAAAGTTCCCCCACAATTTTTCATTAATCCCTATACAGTGGGATGAGTGTTAATTACATGAGCATGTATACATTAGTAGTTTAGTACCACCTATCACATCTTTCTCCAGTTTATTTTCTTTTACTTTTGCATTATATTCACATACTTTCTCCAGTTTATTTTCTTTTACTTTTGCATTATATTCACTTTTTAACTCAATTTTTAAACCTTTTCCAAATATTATCTCATTAATAATGTCCCATTTCTAATTTTTTAGAGTTGTACAAATAAATTGGTATTCTTTGATGCGCTAGTATAGTTCTTTAACAACAAAACGCGGACTAGTAATTCTCTCTTTTCCAGAGAGGAACCTTAGTGATCGCCTCCCCTCTTTATAGAGTTATAGATTTTCCGCCGCCTCTACCAATATCAATATGAGGTTGGAGTGTCAGATTATACTGATTTTAATTTATGTATTCTAATGCTTGGAATTGCAACTACGTCGGAGGACATATCGTTGGCGGATGAACGAGGTGCGGCTAGGAGATTTTATTGAGGCTGGATCGTGAAGCCTTGGTCAGCCATTTTATCATTCACCCATATTGCAAGAGCTCGTCCTCCTCCGGAACCACCTCCATACCAGGAAGAGCTTTGTGGAAAGATTTTATTTCAGTATTATTTTCTCTCTAGTTGGAATTGCTTCTGTTTTAGTTTGAGTAGATTTGATTTGAATGTTTGGATTTATGGAGTTCTTTTGTGGACAAAGTTCCGGTTCCGATCGTTTTAGACCTAAATTTGTCCGTTTCAGGTTTAGCGAGTCATGTTGCTTTGTATGAGGTGACTGACTCTAAGTCTACTCATAGAGTTCACGATTAGATCTGTAAATTGTAGTGACTCGTACACAGTGACCAGTCATATTTTTGTCTGGAAAACTCAATTTTTTTTTAACTCTATTAGTAATATACATGTCATTTTTCCATATTGAATCATCTCTTAACATATACTCCGTATAAAAATACAAACCAACATGATACTCCTAAGATCAAAGACTTCATTCTAAAAGATTAACTTGATAGGAAGAAATGAAGAATGACATAAAGTCTTATATTGTATTTAGTTTTTTATAACTTTTTGGTGTGAGACATATAGATACACAGGAAGTTAGCACTATAAATAGGAAGTTAAGACACAATGCACCGAACCAGGCAATTCAAGCTTCTTTATATTGATCAAACTAAGCTGAAATAAAGACAGGTAACCGGAGATCAGAACAAGATGGGTGAACAAGTGCAACCAAAAGGAAAGGTGATAAGCATTCTGGCCATAGATGGGGGCGGCGTCAGGGGAATTATTCCAGGCACTGTTCTTGCTTTTCTTGAAGCTCAACTCCAGGTACCTAGCTAGCTCTGTTTTTTTCTTCCTACCTAGCTACATATACATATATGCACAACTTCCTTGTCATTGGACTTTGCCTAAAAACTTTTGTCACTTTTCAATTAGAACAACTAATTGAATTTGTGATTGCGGTCATTTCTCGAACTATCTCCTTTGCACAAACCTCAACCACACATCTTTAATTACTTTTCTTATTTCTGGTCTAGTCCGAAGTTGGCAAAGTCCACGGGAACGGAAGTAATAGTGATGAATGAATAGAACTAGTTAACTACTGAGAAATTTATCATATGTATGACTAAAAGAGGATGTTTCTCCTGATATATGACTAGATGAAGTTTTATCCCTATTTTATACCCACACATGATCATCCATAAGTCTTTTAATGTTAAATTAAAACTGAACCGAGGCGCATGCATACATATATCCATTAGTAGTCGTATAATCATCGTATATGTAGTTTTCTAGTATGAGAAGCTACACATGTTTTAGTAATATTCCCATATTTTTTCCTTAACTAATTAATGACATGATAAACAGAAGATTGAAGGCAACCCAAATGCAAGGATAGCAGACTACTTTGATGTCATAGCAGGAACTAGCACTGGGGGGCTTGTGACTGCAATGCTGACTACTCCTGGAGATAATGGCCTCCCTCTGTTTGCTGCTGCTGATATTCCCAAATTTTATTTGAACGAGTCCCCCAATATCTTCAAGAAAACATCATCAGAAATAAGAACTGCAGCAGCCAGCAGTTCTTTACTCACCACAAACGTTGCGGAATTTGGTGCTGTTGTGAAACCCCCCAACTTTGAGTTGCCTCAGTTTTCGGAAAAAGATATCCCTGACTTTTACAAGCATCCCCAGCTTCCAACAGGGCTGCTTCAAGCTTCCATTGCCAATGCCAATATAAGTAATTTGACGTAAGGATACAAATTACTCCAATTTAGGGAATAAAAACGTGAATGTCATATTTTAAAATTTGAAAACGTTTTTATTCATGTTCAAGACAACTTCTATAGGAGTAAATGAGCTTAATTATGAGATGAGTCTTATGACGATAATGATACTACTCTCTGTCTCTCTATCTTCAATACATATATGCAATGTGCAGGTCATTTGCGCTTCCTAATATTTGGGATTGGTTCAAGAAACTAGGCTCTAATGTGTGGTATGTCATCGAGTTCATTCAAAGGATGGGTTTCCGTCCTATGTACGATGGTGTTTACTTGCATGCCATGATCAAAGACATGGTTAGAGATATCAAGCTTAACCAAACACTCACTAATGTCGTTATCCCGACTTATGACGTTCATCACTTGAAACCTGTCATCTTCTCCTCTTTCCAGGTCATCATTGTTTGTATTCATTATTGAAAATAGTATCTAGCTATTTCCTTCACTTAGATTCTCTATGTCTCATTTTGTAAGATTATTACACTTGACTTCTTATGTAGTTCCAAAATTTTGAATTCTCTCAATTCCTAGATTGAACAACACTAAATTTTTACTTTCTCAATCATTATTTTATACTTTATTAATCATTTCACTATTTACTTATTTAAATTGGATGTAGGCAAAGAAGGAGGCGTCAAAGAACCCAAAACTCGCAGATGTTTGTATTGCCACATCCGCAGCACCAGTTTACTTCCCTCCTCATAGCTTTGAGCTCCAATCATCTCAAGGGATTGAGAAGTTCAACCTCGTCGATGGCGGAGTTGCCGCTAACAATCCTGTACGTAATAATGATGGACCATTATATTTATTCAGAGGCCATGAATTACTCCCTCCATCTCGTTAATCGGATTGTCCATTTTTTGAAATTATACTCAGATTGTCTCGTATCGAATTTGATAAACTTTTGGTGGTTCTAAATCAGTTTTACTTTATTCTTACTTCATTAATTCAATATCAATCACATAAACTCATTTTTGATGTATATTATTTTTATTATTATCATATTTATACTTCCCTTGAATGATTGATCAGGTGCTGGTGGCTATCTGGGAAGCAGCAAGAGCGTATAAAGTTGCCCCGTTGCCAGAGAATTTCAGGATCCTTTCACTGGGGACAGGGTCATGTACAGGCACTCAAATGGCTGAAGTCGGCGACGCCACTAGTTGGGGCGTGGTTAGGTGGTTGTTGTTTCCGGATAACACTCCTCGTATCACCGATGTTTTCATGAGCGGCAATGATAATATGGTGGACGCTTACACCTCTCTGCTTTTCGGCGGCGACACCGCTTCCGGCGGCCCCGACAATTTCCTTAGAATCCAATACCAAGGGATGAAGTACGATGAATGTCTGGTCGATGACTCTAGCAAAGCCTATCTACAAAAGTTGGAACAGTTTGCTAATGATCTGCTCAAGGATCCTGTTTCTGGTCCGACCACTTCCAACCCTCTTGAGCTCACAAATGAAGAGGCTCTCATTTCGTAAGTACCACATGAGTTTGAGTGACTATTAATACTTTTTTTATGCACTACTAGTACAATTAAAAAAACACCTTTTGAAATTTCACCTTTGAAATAAATTTATGAATCTTAATTGTAAATACAATTTTATGTAGTACATTAATAAAAATAAGGAACTCAAAGTAGAGTGTGAATAGTTTAAAATTCAAAGTGTTGTGAATATTACTTCCACTAAGATTATCTCATATGTAGTACTCCGTATCAAATTTGGTAAATTTTGTATAGTTCGAAATATTCTTACTTTATCAATTAAATATTAATCACACATACCCACTTTTTTAATAACCACACCACATTCTCATGTCTCAATCTTAGTGAGACGGAGATAGTAACAAATAGATAAAGTATAAATTGTCTCTATTGTGTGTATCTAATTTAATTAAAGAACTCCACATATTTAGACATGCAATTATTGACACTTGATTCTTTTTTGAATCAATTAATCATCATTAGATGTTATGTAGTGCTAAACATTTATATGGAGTAATATTACAATAAGTGAAGTTTGGTAAAGCAATTTAGTTCAACTTCAATTAATCATCATTAGAAGTTTAACTATTTATGTTGATCTCGTCAAACAACCTTGCATTGTTTGCTTTACATGTTGCAGGTTTGCTCGTAATTTGGTGAGAGACAAGTTCCACCCATAAATGTGATGAGTGTCTGATGATGTACGGACAGTGTGGTACAAATAAAGGGCCTGGTGCAGTCTCGATTCAAATAATATGCTTGCTTTTGTGTGTCATTTTCAGTCATAATTTGTAACGTCGTGTAATGGCAAATAAAGCCAATATTTCGATTTGAGGTACCTCTTTCGGGTAGGATCGATCATAAATTAAAATAAAGCAGTCCAGCATGTTGAGCTAGGATGCTCATCTATAATCTGCACGATGTATTGGATATATATGTATAATGTATGTGTGTCTTCACTCTCACCTTTAATAAAATCTTAATTTCAAATACGAGAGTATCAAATAGGTGGGTTACTACATCCCACATTCTCACTTTTTGTTCGACCCCTTGAATTTGATATAAAATCTTGTTTTGATCTGAAACAAATTTTATAAAGTGATCAAAAAGTTATAAATTATGGTTGGAGTTGGAGTATAATAAAACCAAATGAACCTTCCTAAGGAATACAACTTCCACTAACCTCATTTTTGACCGTTAGAGCACTTATATGGAGGCAACCGTTTTTTTCTGGTAAAAATATGGAAGTATCCTTTAAATCAGATACAATAAAATTGTCATTCTAAAAAGAGTTATTTACTCCTATTGAAGTATTGGGCCGCAATACCGGGGCCAGCCCAACACGCCTCTTATTCGACTTTCGCCGAGCAAGCTACCAACATATGCAAGGGCCATTCCCGAGCGCCAACCCTTGAATTGGTCGGGCGATATCGTGACAAAGGCCGAACCAAAGGGTTACAAGCCAATCACCAAGTATTAGTGAAGAAGGCGAACATACTCAAACTTGTTATGCGAAAGCCATGAATTGAAGGGTTGTCGGGCTTGATAGATATCTGTATATCTCAGCTCGTCCGACCCAATGATAGGTCGCACGACCCAAAGTCAGAGTGAGCGACCCAAAACTTGAACGAATGAAGTCAAGGACGGATTTGCCCGCACCTATACACTATAGAGAAATGGTCTTAAATAGGACCATAACTTTAGCTATATACCCGTGTAGGAGCACCCACATTTTAAAACCTGAATAGGACTTGATTTTTACTAAATACCAAGTTTACCCCCGAATTAATTACAGGGGACTCTTCGTCGCTGCTCTTCTTTTTCTTCGCATGTTTGCCGTCCGCTCCATTTAGCTTCGACAAGAACGCCGGCCAACCATCTCACCTTTGGACTTCGTCAATTCCTCTCTTGGTGATATAAAGACGAGGGCATCACCGCATGGGAATATGTGATTCATCTCAAAATCTTTAGTAATCTCCTGGGAGTAGAATTTTCTATTCATTCTAGATTTAGCCTTGTTTCATTTTGACTTTAGAGGATTGTTATGCTTTAATTTCTAATTGTACGATCTTCTTCGCTTTTAAATTGCTCGCTCTTCCTTCGTCGATTCGAAACTTCACCAGACGCCGCCATTGGAATTTGCAAGTGATGAAGGATTGAAGGTCGCCAGAGATGGAGGCCGCCGCTGCAAGCAGTGAAGGTCGCCGGAAATGCTTATTGCGGTGAAGTACTATGAAATTAGTAAACAATGGCCAATTTGAACATACAATATCAGCAAGATTTAATTCCTAATGAAATCAGTAAAAGTTGCTTCCTGCAAAGAGTGGCTTTCACAGATTCAATCTTGCCTCTTCTTTCTCATTTTTAATAATTTTGATTTAATTTTTAAAGTAATTGATTTTGAATTTGATGCCTATGAGGTTTTCTGCTATCAAAGAGTATAGGCTTTCACCATTATTTCCTACATCTTCGTACGTAATAATATTTACAATATTTTAATGAAATTTATTTTGCTAATTTTTGTAACTTATTTTAATTATTGTGGCACTGGAGTGTTGTTATAGTCATATAATGTCACAATATATACTATCCTCCGTCTCTTTTTAATCGCAACATGTTGAATTTTACACTATTCACATGTTCTACTTTGACTACATTTTATATTATTATTTTATGAAAATTATTTTTTTAAAAAATATTGTTCAATTCATCTCATTACAAATTTTCAAAATCTAATTTTTAAATATTTTTTACTAATAGAGATTAAGATATAATTACGGTCAAAGACGTGCGTTGGCAAGTGTGAAATGTTGACTGTTGCAACTAAAAAAGAACGGAGGAAGTATATTAAGTTTCACAATGTCATAAGAGTAATGACAATGTTAATTATAATATATCAATGTCATCAACAAAAACAATATCACAATGTCAATATTGCAATGTCATATGAGAGTGTCACAATGCTATTACACAATGTCACAATATCACAATGTCATTAATGAAAATGATGTTGACATTGTCATTAATACAATGTCATTTTTTATAACATTGACATTATTACAATGTTATTTTGTAACATTGACATTATCATTTTCTTGTGATAATTATCTAACATTTTGACAGTTCCTATACATTTAAATTTTTTACAATGATATGACATTGGCAAATATATATCAATGTCATCATCGAAAACAATAACACTTCTTAACAATGTCATCACAATGACTTTTTATAGCATTGAAATTGACATGTCATTATCAGTGTCATTTTTAAATCATTGACATTGTCATTTTTACAATATTACTTTGACATTGTGAAATTCTTCTTTGTATTTTGACAATTTTTATAATACGTAGTATTCTTGGGTCTGTTTCCCATCCTGTTGTGTGTCAAATCTGTTTTTCTGCAGGTCATTCTACAATCAGCTGTCCCTCTCGCTTTTCTCAGCCATCAACTCCGGCTTTTTATGGTACCTTGATTCGGGAGCTTCAACTCACATGACTGCATCTGAAGGTATTTTATTTAATAAATTTGTCTACAATAATGGTTATAATACAATTATAATGGTGTCCATTTACCCATTTGTCATGTTGGTGATGTTGCATTACCTTCTGCTGGTCATCCTTTCACTTTGAAATCAACAATCAACAATCAACTACTGATGCCTCCTATAACTCATCAACAATACAATGTGTGATCATCAATGTGCTGAAAGTCTAGATGATGAGCTCAAGGAAACTGTCATGTGTCGTACCTGTTCAGATTGCTCCATACACATGGCAGGTATAACAAGCTGCGAGCAATGACGTGCACTTGTCGGGAGGTGCACTCAAAATAAATATCAATACGACACTAATACGTAGTATAGCGAAGTAAGGTTCGTATCCACAGGGAAAGGAATATTTCTCTTTTTAATTAACTAGTAACAAAGGGGGGGGGTTTTAGATTTGATTTGATTTAATTAACACTAAGATGAATGACTTAAATGAGTTTAATTAATGAGAAGAAGACTTGGCTTTGCTTTTATCCACTTAATGAAATGTTCGTCGATCCCGGTTATATCTTTAACTATCTTCCTCTCGAATACTCAATCGAGGAGTATATCCAGTTCATCGAGGGTAGTTATTAATAACGAGAAGCGCTCATTAATAAAACTTACTATCGAGTCAATATAGAACAAGCGCCGTATATTAACTTGATAGTAGCAATAAACTTAAGATGAAAACGATTGAGGTTGATAACCTCAACACAAGCGGTTTATTGGTTTAATCAATATAATTAATTCCCCTTGGTTTATTAACCATGAGATGCATGCATTAATAATCCAAGTTTACTACCATGAAAGGACCGAATTAATAACAAGCGTATTAATCGACCGATTCTAGTATTAATTAATATATGAAACAAAACTAGTTGATCCTTTAAGTAATGTTCAAAATATTAATATGAAATATGAATAGGAATTAATTAATACTCAAGAAAGAATATTAAAGAAGATGAATCCTACTATAGTTAATATCAAGATGTTAACTAATTGTCATCTTAGTAACACTCCCCAATATTAACGTAGAGGAAGAAATAATTATTACTATAGCTAATGTCAAGATGTTAACTAATTGTCATCTTAGTAACACTCCCCAACATTGATATAGAAATAGTATTTAAAGGAAGAATTAATATTCAAGGAAGAAGATTAAAGAGAATAACTCACAACTTACAAATTCATTAAGCTTCAAAGTAGCAAAACCAAGATGGAAGAGTTTAGCTCCTCATTTGGAGACTAAACATGATAGAAAATATAAAGAAAACACTAATCTAAACTGAGCTAAAGAGTATATGTGAATTGGTGATTTTATTGTGAAGGAAAGGGGTGTATTTATAGGCTTTTGGGAGCTGCAGGGTCTGATACCCGACCGGGTATATGGGATACCCGACCGGGTATCTCAGGAAATTGACCAGAAAGTCACTTTTCTGGGCATACCCGATCGGGTAAGGGTATATACCCGATCGGGTATGTGACAAATCTTTATGAAAATTTGCTCCCACGATCATTTGTCTTCGGATTTGATTTGGACAGTCGAATCAAGCAATTACCCGATCGGGTATAGGCAATACCCGACCGGGTACATGAGTATTTTTTCCAAATCGAAATCTTTATTGTCTCCTTGCACTTTCCTTGATCTTTTAAGGTCCAATCTTGATCCCTTAGATGATCTTTAACCTGTTTAGCTCAGAAAAATCCTAATCTAACTAAATTACAAATAAAAAATGAAAATAAAGTATTACACCAAAAGTGTGTAATTTCCACAACTAGAACTAAAAAAACTAGTTAAAAATAAAAACATACAATCGGAAATTTCATGAATATCAAGCAATCAACCAACCCTTGCACAATCTGAGGGAGAGTTTCAGGTTTCTCCTCCTGGAGCCATACAACAACAAAGCAAGGATTCTCTCAAAGGATGCAACACTTGAGGAGGAATTTTCAATTTTATCCTCCCCAGTGCCAAAAGATAACAAAGCATACCGAGTGCTTCAGTTGAGGGGGAGCACAGAGTGAAAATAAACAAAGGAATGAGAGAGAAATGAGAGAGAAGTCCTGATGACTTAGTAAACCCAACTAAGGCTACCCAAGGGACAAAGCCGAGAGTAAGCGAGTGAATGAATGAGTGAGTGAACTCTATGAGCGTTAGGAAGCAGTAGGCTCAATCGAGCAAGAGAACAATAATCAATGATGAGTCTGCTACCTCAACTGTCTGCTATCAATTGAACATTTACTCCCAGTCACTCAAATACTCTGAACAATCCTCATGGGTTTAGGACTGAATTTATTCAGATCCCAGGTAAAAGTCACTGCATCATGTCCAACAGTGCATGCATAACCCTACCCAAGACCACTCATTTGTCTCCCAACAGACAAATGTTTAATCATATTTCACGGGGAACCTCATCTCTCATTACTGTCTCCTTCCAAGGCAAGTGAAACTGACTACAGTGGCCGGCCTCAGCCCCATGCCACTAGACTTTCATTGATCACGCTGTATCTAGT